ATATTTCTGATATGTTACAATTAGGAATCCTAGGGTTCAGAACAAGTGAGCAATACATTCAGGTTTGCAGAGTCTGTGAGATTTACTATAGCAACTTAAGGGACTAATCCAAATGTAGACACTTGGCTATTCTCTTGGAGAAGTCATGGAGTCCAGGCAAGTGGAGAAGAGCAAAGATCATCCTGAGCTTTAAAAAGGGGAGAAAAGCAGAGCCAGGCAATTACAGACTAGGTATGCTAACCTCAAGTACCCAGAATGAGAGAGATATATATACATCACACAATACTTTTCTAAGCAGCTGGAGGATTACAAGGTCTTAAGAAACCAACTAAGATTTGTCAAGAATAAACAAACCATGTCAAACGCATCTAATTTATTTCTGTGACAGGATAATCTAAAAAGTAGTAGACGTGATTTATCTTGTCTTTAGTAAGACTTCTGGTGCTGTCCCACATGACATTCTTATGAGCTAACTGGGGAAATATGGGCTATTATGAAATCATTGTAATGTGAAAGCAGAGTGAGCTGAAAACTCCTGCGTACCGAGTGCTCATTTATCAGAGGTTCTCCGGCCATCTGAAAGAAAGCCAAGACAAGGCTGTCCTTCACGTTTCGTGCTGGTCACCACTTGTATTAGTAACCTGGCTGATGAGCATGTGCATGTTTGTATGTGTGAATGAATCCATGCTGAGAGAAATATTTCCAGGATAAATAATTTTAAACCAGAAAAGACAAATACACTAAGAAATAAAGAAGCAGACTGAGGACTAACAAAGGAACTGAGTGCACACACACAAATGGAGAATTACTGTGCAGGCAGTGATGGTTTGGAAAGGATCTGAGGAATTATAGTGGCTCAGAAAATGAAGGGAAATCCATAGTGTGGGTATTTGTCTGAATTAACAGGAGTTACGTGAGACAGCAGAAGTAATTTTCTGATTCTACTTGGCACTGCTTAGGCTTTTACTGGTATAGACATCTACGTCTGGGCATCATCCTTCAAAAGAAACGCAAAGTGGGAAAACCTCACTTGGACATTGCTAGAAAAAGGGCATATCCTCATTTGTGAAACAGATTGTCAGCAATTTATGCCTCCACATTTGAGCTGAGACATGGTCAAGGGCTGCAAGGCATTTGCTTCTTGTGGATGCATTCTACTGCCATTCCAGAACTGGCTGTAGAATACAGTTGTACTGGTAAAATGGTATTTTACCATTTTACAATAAATGCAACAGTTATAAAAGAATTACTATCCACCATGCCCTTTGAGATATAAAGCAAATGCAGTGTACCAGTAAGGCTAAAGGGATAGATGCAAGTCAATGTAACACAACTGCTGAAGTGAAACCTGCTCACAAAGAAAATAGTTTGCATGCTGCATAGATTAGACAAACATAGCTGCTTGCTTCCCTGTCGTTCAAGTACAGCATCAAACCCCGCTCATTAGAAGTTAAAATGACACCCTAGGTACCCACTGCAGCACAGCATGAGGCATAGTGGTGTTACTAAGAACAAGTGGATTTCAGTCCAGCTGCTGCCATTTAAAGTTAAGTCCGGTTCTGGGCAGCTCTTTTCAGTGATTCCCCCCAAGAAAAACTACGCTACGTTCATGGCCATAAAGTTTATGTACTTACAGGCTCCAGGACAGGATTATCATTCAGTGTTTTGCACCAGTAAGCACAGTAATACACAATAGCATGCAAAATCATTTACGGTACAGAAAGATCCTGTAACTTTACTCCTCAAGTAACTGGCGAACATTCAATCCACTCCTATTTTCCTAGGAAGATAATTCCTGAGACGCAGACTTGAGTTGTCGTGTCGGCAGTTTCAGACACTGTACTTCAGTGAAGCATACAGCACCAACTTGATAGGGACATAACAAAACAGGAACGAAATCTTATCTAATACAGATACTCAGAGGCAAGACATGTTCATGGGGTTAAATTACAGTAAGCGGTGGGCTTTTTTTATTTCGTTGAAAAGTACATCTTTTACTGGATTCAACATAGTAATAAGATGAAAAGAGGTCCACTGGTGAGGGAGGAAAAAAAGCAAAAGTTTGGAAGTACTTGATAACTAAAATAAATGACAGCTTTTCAATATCCCATAGGCAGGCTGTAGTAGACGGTATTTTCCCACATCCACGGAGAAAGCAAAGTCTCTGACTGGTGTAAATCAGTTTAGCACAAATGGTGGTCTGTCTAGATAAAACCTGCACTACTTGTTTCTCTTAATAGATAATATAGGTAAGATCTAGCTTTCACTCCGACCCATGCTTTAACACTCAGAATTTATCCATATTTAATTACAATTTTATCACACTTCTCTAATCAAATAAATTTACTTTGTCCTCCAAGCAATCACCTCAGTATTCCAGTATGTAAAAAATACTTTCATTATGTTTATTATAAAAATATAAATGTTTCCACTACAAATCATTTTACATTAGTAAGAGGCCATCTACAATTGCACAATATATAACCTAAATGAGTAAGTAATGCTTTGAAATACGAGTTAAAGCAAATACATATTGTCAATCAAATCACATCTATACATTACTTATTGAATGCTAAATAACAGCACAAAACTAGATATGTTAACAGAAATAAATAAAATGGAAACTATATTTAAAGATACAAAACCAATAATGCGGCATGTCATTTTGTGTGCAGTTGCATTTTGCTTGATGTTGATAACCGATGCAAGTTCTGTACAGGAAGATGGCCACACGAATTCTAGTATCTCTACTCCACAATGAGGAATTGTACACTGCTATGTATACATATGTACATGGGGACGGGGAGTATAGGATGTTTGCAACAGAGGCCACTTACAGTACAAATCAACTTTTGACAGGGAGAGAAAACTAAATGTATTGTCAAACTCTCTACTACTAATAGCAAAGAAAAGCAAAACTGAGTTTCTTTTTCTCCCAAGCATCAGTGAGATTGAATCTTTTACGCTGAGCATGCTGAAAGAGTGGGCTAGGAACATGATATGATCCTAAGAGAAAATTGAGGGTGGTCGGTGCAGTTTTCACTTGTCATCTAAACCTCTAAGAACTGGCTCTGTGTTTTCAGAAGCATTTCACAGATGTCTCCCCCCCACCCCAGCCCTCTCGTCCCCCCTCTCCGGCAGCAGAACGAAGCTGAAGAGAAAGTTCATGAGGAGTATGTTATAAAAAGCTGTCCCCACGCAGACAACGTCTGCAAATGGATGTTGGCGACTTAAATTCACTAACAATGTCGGATTTGGAGCAATCTCAAACTGAGGAAAAGAAAGATTCCGAATAAGCTACGAACGGATAATACAGCTTTTCTATTCAGCATGCTGCATTTCACGATAGGTTGTGGCAGATAAGCAGAAATGTTCTTCACATCTGAAGTGCTTTATTTTCATTTTCTTCCATTTCTCTTTTTTTTTATTTCGACATAGTATAAACCCCATTCCTTTTCCTGTCAGAAAATATCACTAATTATTACCCTGTGAGTGTGTTTCAAATGAGTCCTTTACAGCACGCTCACTGCCACCACTCATTAAAAAAGCTTCTAATTCTGCTTCTATTTAGCAATTTGTGGTAAATGCTGTGTCTCTACATTTTCTAAGTCCTGGACCCATGAAGATCAATTTAAATGTCAATTCAGCCACATAATGCAAGGAACTGATTCCTCCCTTACTTATATGCCCTATGCTACAAAGAGCTTCAAAAACCAAACCAACACAAGAAAAAAACCACAACTGGTTACCTTCTTTTGCATGCACATTGAAAAGTGGCGTGCCATATAGTCATCTGCATCCCACGCAGTCTTTTAGGGACTCACTGTTACATCAGAACCAGCCTAGATTCCAGCATGGCAAGTTGAGAATCAGAGTGCTTTCCACTAGTGTCCAAAGTCTAATGTCTGGTGCCTGGCATTAGATCTAGAGCGTTAAGAAGCTTGCCTCTACGTAGCACAAGAGATGTCTCACACTGATTTAAACCCCTCATTTTCAAAGTGAAGAGTTGTGTCTGCTCAGAAATGGGACTGATGGACTCCAGAGAAACAGCTTAAGAGTTTGCTGTTGGGAAGACGCTGAAGATGGGGGAGGGCTTTCAAATCCCACTTTCCAGGCTCCCTTTTCTACTAGGAAATACAAATGCTCTCCTAAAGACAGGCTCCTTTATGTTGTCTTTCAAGGAACAGGTGCCTGGGGAACCTGTGTCAGAAACTCAAGTCCCCTGCAGCATGGCAGTGTCTGGAGAGAGGTCTTCAAGCTCAGACTTAGGTATAACTACATACCAAAGTCCCATTTCACAGCTTGTCATCCTTTTAAACAAGCTACTTATCCATGGCTGCAAGTCACCATCTCAGCATAACTACCAGTGGCTGCCCACATGGTAGTACATGTCCCAGTTCCCAGTGTCAGAGCTAGAAATGGACCATTCCCCAGTGAACTTAAAAACCATCCTCAGTTAATGCAGGATGCAACCCGGACTCTCTTTTTATGTTTGCTAGACAAATGTCCCATTTGAGAACAGGGGTCCTTATTCTGATAGGAAAGCAGGCCTTTGGGAAGTAAATGAGATGTGTGTGCCTGACCAGGGCAAACACTGATCTTGAGATCAATACACACACAACACAAGCCTCTGCTACAATCCCCTTATGGTCAATGGGAGGAAATTCAGCAAGTCCAGATGATTTGTCTAGTGTCAGAGCTGGAAAAAAGACCCATCTTTCTTTCCTTCTGTACTTCATGTATGATGTTATGAGTATAAAATCATCCAGTAATTAACCCTCAGACAACTTCTCAGGTTGAACTAATGAACTTCTGATAACATTTGGCACTTGGCAATACTACAGCCAGGTTAAGGTATTGAAGTATAAATATAAACAATAATGGAAAAAAAAAAAAATCAAAGGAAATAAATAAGTCTTTTAAAAATTAAGACTTGTTCTATTTAAATGAACACAATTAGGGAAGCTAACATAATGGCGAAAATCTTTTGTCAACTAATGCAAAGCCACTACAAACTTTATTTCGGTGTTCCTTTCTGAAGTGGAAATAGCATGTTACAATGACATTATAGTAAATATGGCCAGACAGGTTGTGAGGTATTGTCCTCTATTTTCCTTGCTTTTAAAGAAATAAAATACCTGTTACAGATCTCTTCTGTATAAAAATACTGCAAGTCTTTCTTTCTTCTTGTTTGCTGTATAGATCAAATACACAGCTTTTATGTCCATGGGTTTCTCGTGTTATTCAGTCACTTAATATTCAAATGGCTCTATGTTTTAGTATCACTGGTTTTTACTTGGAAGGATTTTTACATATTTCTCTTTTGAAATTTACTATCTGTATTAACAGTCAGTCAAGAGCACCCACCCTTTAGGATTAACAGATAGAAAACAAGTTCGCTCCTATTTTTAAGGCATTTATACTCAACATTTGAGTATCTTAGTGGGTTTCAAATTTCAACCATTAGGTTTCCACAGCTGTTGCAAAGAACTCCTTTAAATTCTGCCGTTTATCAGCCATCACTTTTGACCTGTGACACAACTTTTCTTCTCTCCTGAGCAACATCATTTTGGTACCTTACACAGGAACGGGGCTGTTCTTTGTATGAGTTTCTAGAGCTTTGATACTGCTCACAACCTTCTTTTGAGGCCCCACAACTGTAACGCCAACTTTCTTCATGTCACTGGAAAAAAAAGAGAAGCAGCATCAGTTGCAGTGTACTGTCTCTGTGTTTCCCAGCGCTGATGCGAGCAAACAGCAATCAACTCGGTCATCTTATACTGCCGCAGTGGAGGAGTCCTCCAGGTATGGTGGTATTGCTGAAAGACAAGCTCTGGTACAGAAAATACTGACAGACACTGTATGAAAGCAGCAGGAGGCAGCAAAAAAAAAGGAGTAAAAACTCATTTAGCATTTTAGTGTTTGCTTACCTGGAAGGAAAGACAATGAAACAGTGTTCTCCAGTGATACAGGCACTGGGATTTAGGGGCAAGGGGCTCAATTCCGGGCCAGCTGCAATCTTGAGCCTAACATCTCCAATCCCTGTCAGGCTTTTCCTGAGCAGTGCTGAAATCTCGCTACCATGTGCTGAGCCCTCTGAACGGTTGTCTTAACTCTGGTATCAGCTTTGAGATTAACAGCTGCATGGCCAAGATTCCAGCATCTACCCTGTTTTCCACCGCTCATTTCTCCAAGCTGCCCAATCCCTTTGTTCCTTCCACAACACACAAGTGGTTTAACACTTGTGAAGGGCTAATTAACCACTGGCTCACAGGAAATTGGGCATTCCTAGAGGATTTCTGCACTGTCCCCAAAGGGTGCTATAAAAAGACATTATCAGGCTTTTTATAGTTGCAATAATACAATAATTAACAGCACTGATGTGTTTAACTGTCGGTACCACAGCTGCTGCTTAAAAAATAGTTGTGTACCCAGCTAGCCCAACAGGGAACCGAGATTTCCTTTGGCACTAGGTTCATAACTGTACTTGATGTCTTTTCAGGTGCAGGGAGAACACTACCCTGCTCTTCCTTATCACCAGGACAAAGATGGATTGCATTTAAATGTAATAAACTTGCAAGTTGTAAACTTCCAAGTGTAGCGTGTTTAAATGTCAAAACTGGAGGCAGGAGGGAGTTTGGCCTCTGAATAATTAGCACGTAGGAGAAAAGCATCTACAAAGGGCTTGCTCTGTCTCACTTAGTTTGATGGAATACAGGATGAGCGATAAAGGAAAGACTGACACACATGCCAGTTGTACGGAAAGCCCCATATAAAAGGCTGAATATAAAAAAAACAACAAAGTCCTAAACTGTGAGTGAAAGAAAAATGATGCTGGTGTACCAGAGGAGGCACAGTGTTACTGGGAAATAACACCCAATAATACTGGTGAAACTGGGAAATTCCTTACCACTAGTGAGAAAAAGTTATGGGATTGTGTCCTTCATACAGTCACCAGAGCATCTAGATTTCCTGCATCTGTATTACAACTGTAACAATACTTTATATTAGTCTCTTTAAATGTAGGAATATAATGGAACAAATGTAAGAATATCCAGTAAAAACTCCATATACAACCACTACTGTTGTACTTCTGGTTTAACTTGTACCGCCAGCCACGCCAGTGAAGAAGAACTCTAGTCAATTCAAACTTACTCTGTAGAAATCTTGGCTATTGTATCACAGGAACTGTATTCCACGCCTGTGAAAATGTCTTTGCACTGCCCTGTCCGAAAACCATTGAGCCAATCACCCGTCGTGCGGAAGGCTGAAATGTCAATGTTACTTTGGTCCAGGAGAAGATTTGATGGCCTGAAATAAAGAAAGGAATGCAAGGGAAGTTAGAGAGCAGAGATACATATGGATTTATTTTGTGTCTAAACTTAGCGCTGGCAGGAGCTTCCAGGCTAGACGTGGTTTTTCTATTCATCTGTGGAAGTTATCTGCTGCTGAAGTGACCACATGTACTTACGCTGGCAGCTCTGATAAACACGGCATAATCATCTCGCTTAAGAGCACCAGCTTCTCACGCCGATGTTTAAGTCACTGAAGCATCACCAATTCATGAAGCGTATTGCTACCTTACAATTTAATGTGCGAAGAACCTTCCGTATTGCAAATGGCAAAAAATGACTGCTCCCATATTGATCCAGAAATTCAGTTCTGCCTGCTATGAATATTCTTGGTTTTGTGGTCTTGAGAGCATACTGTAACTTCTTATTTGAGAGCATCAAGACTCAAAACAAATGCCAGGCCTTGCCTATGAAGACGCTAGGCTCTAATGCACATCATTTTAGCCACCTAACAATACCACAAATGAGCCTAGCTAGCTCTCTGGACTACCATTTCAGAACATGGAGAGATACCTACATTTCCAGGCATGAGGTTTTTCCTACCTGAAACGGTAGGCAAACAGCTTGGAGGACACATGCAGCTCTCAGATAGATGAACCTGTTCTCAGCTGTTCCTCCTCATTGACTTGCTATCTTATTCTAAGAGGTGTGAGGAGCCCCTGAATAGCAATATGATCAGTAATTTCTTTCTACTGACAAGAGATCTTACTGATTCTAGTCGCCTTTCTCTCTTAGTGCTAATTAGTACAATAATGACTTCCTCAACTAGTCAGACATCAACTCTTATTTCTGCAATTTTCCCTCCACTGATAATCATATGTCCACATTGGACAGCTTTTGGCCACCATTCAGAAACATACGTGCTCCATTTTAAGTGAAGTGTCTAAGGTGTCCACCTCAGGCTTAAAGCTAAGCATGTGCTTAGCTGTGCTGCTGTTATTGTGCTACTCATAAGCACAGGAGACTGAGCTAGAGGATATCCAAAGCAGTTATCACTGCAGCTTTACAGCCTATTTTCTGCCCCACCATTCTTTTTCCCTGTGGTTCTAGTGAAACATCACTTGCACAGGAGTTTGACTACTACAACGGAATCCATCTGATGTCACTTTTGTGACTGGGAAGAAGTGAAAATGAGAGGTGGTCAGACTAACACCATAATTTAAAGGCAGTGATTACGCGGAGCAAAGGGTACTTGACAGCTGCTGGTACTGGAGAAGTGATCTGGATTGTAAAACACCCTCTTCACCCCAAACCCAAGCCATCTCTGAACACTGAACAAAAGAAATGGGGAGAGATTGTAAAGGCACCAAAGAGAATAAAGTAGGTAAATACCAGTAAGTTTAAGCTCATAAGCAGCCTGGAAAACCCAAGCAAAACTTCTTAATCCCAACAGAAGTTTTTATTAAGTTTGAGATCAGCAGCACTGCAATAGTACCCTTAGTAGAAATATGACAACAATAGTAGTAGCAGTACTACAATAGTAAAACTCTACCCTTGAGGTACACATGATTTTCAGTGGAATCAGGAGATGCCACATTAATTACACCAAGACTTTTACCTTTGAAGAAAAGAACAATATAGCTTTGCGAAACAATAACTTTTGGTATCGGCTACATATTAAACAGCACCTTGTACTACTGATGCTTCGCCAATTGTTATCAATCAGTTGACTTCTTTCAGGCTCAGGAAATTATTTTCATGTCTTTTTCCCTTCTGCGATGGCAGGCCATACTAAAAAATGCTTCAAAATCTTAACTTCCAAACCACAAATGGACATAACATCGCTGAAGATTCACCATCAATGGTCACCAGGTCTCCAAGCAGCAATATCCCTCATAGGACTTTTCACCTGACTACCTTCCCTCCAGAGCCCCAGCCATGACAAGGAGCTGCTGCAAATGACCATGATCACTGGCACCAGCTATGGACCTCACATCCTGAGAGCAGCTGCAGATGGAAGGGAAAGAGACAGATGACACCAGAAACCTGCTCTGCCCCAAAAACACTAAAGAAGGGAAAGCACAGCGTGGCCACAGAGACGCAAAGGCCGAGCTGAGGACAGAAGCTGCAGCACACTCTGGGTTACATCTTAAAACCAGATCTTAGGCACCTTTGTGACACAAAGCTTTAAACACTCTCCAGTTAAAGGCTTAGGTTTGATAATCAGGTCCAAAACAGTCTTATTCAGTAGCTGTACAGCCTGCATCTCCCTGACTACTGTTTGTTCCAAGAAGAGCCAACGCTTTTTATTTATAGTTTTTTGGGTATAGCATCTGGAATCCCAAGACATTTATTATTTATGAAGTGCTCTTAGTGATAAAGCATGGACTTCTTCTTTTCCAAGCCTAGTATGTCTTTTTAACTTAAATCCAATAAAGCAAGGCCTGACTCAAGAATCACTAATGAAAAAAAAGAAAAGTATAAACAAGTTGAAACAGAACAGGTCTCTAGGATTAGGAATTAGAATGGCCCAAAAGAGCTTTTATGTTTATTACTTGGATCAAAGCATCATTGAGACAAAAAATATGACCTAATTTTAATGCAAGTGACCTCAGAATAACCAGCACTGTAAAGTATCATTTTTCTCCTTGTAGGATTCCAAAGAAAAATTAGTTACTTTCCTCCTCAGAGAGGACATCTGGACAGTTTATCAATGAGCAGGAATTTGTCTCACTTCGAAGAGCCTGTGATGTCTCCTCACATGCACCAAGGGAAAGCTGGGCTTTCAGAGCATCTGCACACACAGGCAGTTTTTCCCTCCTCCCCTGACCCAGCCCCTAGACAGAAGGTCTGACCATGAAATTTATGGTCTGGGTGATGTGCGCCATGAGCTCACACTTTACTAGACAAATTAGATGGGTTGCAATCCGTGCAGCTGTAAACGATGTCCTGCAGGGTTCCACCTGATCTTTTACAGCTTTTCATAAATCAGTACCTACTAGCTTCAGAAGAGAGTCATTAAAAAGAAATCATGGAAATTACATGTTTGCTCAGGGGAAGTGAAATGGAACATTTCCCTCTGTCTTGTCTTTTCTTCTTTCCCCTCTCTTTTTCTCTTGGAAGTCTTTTCACTTTGTTGCTTTGACCAACAACAATATACCCTATCATGTTGTCTTTTGACAGTCATGGAAAGGCTTTCTGTCCTGTTCACCCTGACTGTGGGTCTATCTACAGAGCTTTATTTACTGACATGTGGTGCACTGAAAAGAAATCAGCAAGGATCAGGTTAGAGAGACAAATTTAACAGCAAGGTACCAGTTACAAAATACCCCCTTCCTGAAAGCTTTCTCTGGATGTGCTCATTATGTTAACAGTTGGAATTAACCTTTGAGTCATCTGCAGTAGCAAGAAGAACTATAGTTTGTTATCATTAGCACAGCCTTTTGTAACAACACAGGGAAACTTATGCTGCACCATCTAGTAATGACAAAGACACAGAAAATGTCATTAGAACCAGTCCCAACACAGCATGAAAATCTCATCTCTGGTAGGCTGCTGCCTGGCAAAAAAAGGGGTACATTAACTTGCAAAATCCAGGAACTGAGGCAAATAAAAGGAAAACATCCTTCCACTTCTTCTGCATGAGGGGTAGCATTCTGCAAACACACTGAGAACTTGTGTACATCTGATCCTGGACTCATATTGCAGTAGCCTCTTTCCATCCCTTCCTCCAAACAATACAAGCAACCTTAAGTTTGTAAATCAGGACTTCCCCTTCTGCAATCAGTTTCTTTTAAATGGGAAAGCATTTAAAAATCATAAAGTAATTTCCTGTGGCAAATTTTAGGTAATTATAGCCTGATTTTCTAAAGTGAAATTGCCCCCTAGGAGGGAGCCCGGCCTTGTTTGAATACAAATCCTATGTGCTTTATGATTATGGCAAGCTAAAGCACAGAATTCGGGTCTAACAGAAGGGTAGCTCCTATTTCAAGAGGAAAATAAACCAAAAGCTAACACATGGCATACAAAGCAAACTTGAGTTTTATCTTCTGCAGCAAGCAGTATCATAAGTACACATGTGTAGCAACAGGAGACTAGTAAATAAATGACATGCCAAGGAGAAGTCATTGTGTTTACTTGATTATCCCTGGACCTTAAAGATAAGAATCTTTGGCGTTCCACCTCTTCATGCTAATTTTTAGGGTACGCTTAGCAAAATCTGTAACTTAGTCCTAAAATACATTTCACCTCCTAGGGTGACACATTTGCTTTTCCCAAGGGGCTATATCTGATGCATGCACACTCTCAGAATAAAGGCAAAAGAGAGCTGGAGAAATGAAGAGGGATAATACAAATAACCAACAGGGAAAAGAATGCAGGTGAGGCTGATGGCCGCCTGCAAAGAATTAAACCTCTCTAGACATCATCCTGGACTTCTTGCTTTCTAGCTCCATGTTGCCCGCTGGCAAAAAACTTACCACAGCTTGCTCTAGGATAAAGCAGAGATAAAACTTCAACTGCCATATAGGTCAGTCCTTCTGCCTTCCCTACTTCTTTAGCTGCCCTTCAGAACATGCTTTTCAGGGGCTTGTATCTTTTCAGTGTCCCAGTGAGGTAATAAATCATATGGCTGGGTCTGCCATGCTCCTCAATTTACTTGTTCCCACCACCAAACCACTGAAGGCAAAAAAGACCAGCACGCTGCTGAAATGCTTTTCTTTTTTCTCATAATAGAGCTTAAGCTGCGTTTTTAAGCCACAAAAGTAACATCCCACGGCCATTTCCTGGGATGCCTAGCTGGCCCAGAGACAGACCCTTAACAGCAATCAGTCATTATTGTTAGGACGGCCTACAGGCTCTTTACAAGAGGGAGAGAAAAATGCCTCCGAGAGCTCTTAAAATGCTTTCCTGGCTCTTGCATCTACCTTTTGGTGCATATGATTTGCCCCTTACATCTCACATTTGGCCGCGTTGTAAATTCCTACCGACGTTTGGAGCGGCGTCCGCCGCATCAGGCAA